TGTTGAGCTGTTTTGGGGCTGATTTTGGGTGTTTTTTGGCTGTTTCGGGGCCGGTTTGGGCCGTTTTATGCACTTTGGGGCTGATTCTGGGTGTTTTTTGGCCGTTTCGGGCCGTTTCGGGGCTGGGTTTGGGTGTTTCGGGGTGTTTCTCACCGCCAGGAAGCTCTTCTCCAGGGCGAAGCGCACGTTGGTCTCGATGCTGGTGCGTTTCTTGCGGCGCCGGCCCGGGAGCCCCTCAAAGCCCCCCAGGGCCGAGGAGCTCAATGGGTTGGGGCTGGGCAGAGCCGAGTCCACAGACATGGTCTCTATAGGGGATGGGACCAGGGGCTATATGGGACCAGGGGCTATATGGGTCCATAGGTCCATATGGGGACGGGCACATGGGGTATATGGGTCCATAGGTCCATATGGGGAAGGGACCATGGGGTGTATGGGTCCACAGGTCCATATGGGGATGGGGACCAGGGGGTATATGGGACCATAGGCCCATATGAGGATTGGGATCATGGGGTATATGGGACCATAGGTCCATATGGGGATGGGGACCACGTGGGGATGAGGACCATATGGTGATGGAGACCATATGGTGATGGGGACCATGTGGGGATGAGGACCATATGGTGATGACTATATGGTGATGGAGACCTTATGGCGATGGAGACCATATGGTGATGGGGACCATGTGGGGATGAGGACCATGTGGTGATGGAGACCATCTGGGGATGAGGACCATATGGCGATGGAGACCATCTGGGGATGAGGACTATATGGCGATGGAGACCATATGGGGATGAGGACCATATGGTGATGGAGACCATATGGGGATGAGGACTATATGGCGATGGAGACCATATGGGGATGAGGACTATATGGCGATGGAGACCATATGGGGATGAGGACCATATGGTGATGGACTCCATGGTCCCTATGGGTCTGGTGCCCCTATAGGGATGGACACCATGGTCCGTATGGATCTCACCAGCGTCATTGAGCCACTTCTCGAGCAGGGGCTTGAGCTTGCACATGTTCTTGAAGCTGAGGTTCAGCGCCTCGAAGCGTGAGATGGTCGTTTGGCTGAAGTCATTCCCATAGAGCTTCCCCATGGCCAGCCCCACATCACCCTGGGGGGGGAGTCCGGAGGGGGTCACCCCATGTCTGCCCCCCTCTTCCCATCCCAGAGCATCCCAGAGCATCCCAGACCATCCCAGTGCATCTATGGAGGTCTATGGGGGTCTATGGGGGTCTATGATGGTCCCAGTCCATCCCAGTCCATCCCAGTGCATCTATGGAGGTGTGGGGTCTATGGTGGTCTATGGGTGTCTATGGGGTCTATGGGTGTCTATGGGGTCTATGGGGCTCTATGGGTGTCTATGGAGGTCTATGGGGTCTATAGGCGTCTATGGGGTCTATGGGGTTCTATGGGATCCCATTGCCTCCCAGTCCATCCCAGTTGACCTGTGTGAAGCCCAGCTTGATGGGCTGCTGCTTGAAGGTCTATGGGGGTCTATGGGTGTCTATGGGGACCTTGGGGGG